AAACACGCTACTGTAATATGTCCAGCTCTTGGTCTCTAACCCTCCATGACTGAGCTCCTTGTGCTCAGAGGTGTGTCTAACACGTTACAGTGTCCTCATGACCCCTAGCACAAGGCCAGCTGCATCAGTGGCACCTCCTGAGTACCTCGTGAGTGAGTGTGATGGCATATAGACTCTTCAGATGATGTAGCAGGTGGTTCTGAGAGTGTGGCTCTTGTCTTGCCTGGTCATTGGAATCTATATGTACTTCCTGTTTCATGTGTTTGATAAGAACAGTAAAAAGGTATCGCTTTTAATTATCTACATCTTTCTTTCTCTACTAAGCATCTTTGGGGCCTACAGCATGGATGTGATTACCAGCACATCATTTGGAGTGAACATTGATTCCCTCAACAACCCACAGGATCCCTTTGTGGAAAATACTAAGAAGCTCTTAAAATTTGATTTCCTTGATCCATTTCTCTTCTCAATATGTACGTACAGTACTAGTTTTCTCTTTTTCCTTCCTTCCTTCTTCCCTCACTTCTTCCCTTCCTACCTTTCTACAACAATTTTACTGAGATATAACTTCATATAACATATATGTCCCCCTTTTTTTATTTATTTTTTATTATGTTATCTTAGTCACCATACAGTACATGATTAGTTTTTAAGTGGGGTTCCATGATTCATGGTTTGTGTATAACACCAGTGCTCCATGCAATACATGCCCTCCTTAATACTCATCATGTGAAATAAGTCAAGCAGAGAAAGTCAATTATCATATGGTTTCACTTATTTGTGGAACATAAAGAATAGCACGGAGGACATTAGGAGAAGGAAGGGAAAAATGAAGAGGGGGAAATCAGAGGGGGAGACAAACCACGAGAGACTATGTCCTCCTTTGAAAATGTACAATTCAATTTTTACAGTCTGAGTGTTCATTGTCCAAGGAATGGATAATGAAAATGTGGTATGTATATACCATGGAATCTTATTCGGCCATAAAAATGGAAGGAAATTCTGTATTTGGACAACATGGATGGATCCTGAGGGCATTATTAAATGAAATGAGTGAGACAGGGAAAGACAAATATTGTTTGACTTCAATTACACGTGGAATAAAAAAACCATGCAAGAAACAAAGTCATACAAAAAGGAGATCAGATGTGGTTATCAGAGGCAGGGATTGGGGGATGGGACTTGAATGAAGGTGACCAAAGGTACATACTTTTAGTTATAAGATAGATGAGTACTGGACTGGTAAATACAACATGATGACTCTAGTTAACACCACTGTATGATGTATTTGTAAATTGTCATCATAATGGCAGAAAATTTTGTTTTTATAACTATATGAGATGATGCATGTTAACTAATCTTATTGTGGTAATCATTTTTATATATGTATGTCAAGTATATGCAGTATACCTTATCTTATATAATACTGTACGTCTGTTATAAGTCAAGGAAACTGAAAACTCTGCTTGGTGCATTCAAAGATATGTGTAACTTTTACTGCACTCAATTTTTGGAATATTGTTGTCAACACAGAAATCCTGTACTTTTTTACTATCACTACCTACTTTCCTTAGACCTAAGCAACCACTAATCTGCTTTCTGTCTGATAGATTTGCCTCTTCTGGACTCTTCATACAGACAGAATCCTATAACATGCGATCTTTGTGGCTGCCTTCCTTCATTAGCATAACGTTTTCAAGATTCATCCATGTTGCATCATGCATCAGAACTTTCTTTTTATGGCAGAACAATATTCCACTGTATGGACATATTGCATTTTGTTTATCCTTCCATCTTTTGAGGGACATTTGGGTTGTTTCCAGCTCTTGGCTATTGTGAATAGTACTGCTCTCCACATTCATGCACAAGTTTTTGTTTGAATACCTGTTTTTAATTCTTCTGGGTGTGTATTCTGAGATGGAATTGTGAAGTAACTTTGCTGTTTGTACAATGCTTTGCACTGTAACTTGCTATGTTGCTAAGGTATAGTGTGTTTAATTTAATAAGGACCTGCCAAACTGTTTTCCACAATAATGACATCATTTTACATTCCCACCAGTTAAACATGAGGGTTCTGGTTTCTGCTTATCCTTGCCAAGAGTTGGTCTACATTTGTGTATCTTTTTGATGATGGCCATCTTAATGAGTGTGAAGGGTATCCCATTGTGGTTTTGTTTTGCATTTCCAATGACTAGTGAGGTTGAGCAACTTTTTATATGCTTGTCGCCTATTTCATAACTTCTTTTTTAAATTTAATTTTTTATTTAAATTCAGTTATCCAAGGTATAGTGCATCATTTGTTTTTGATATAATATTCAGTGATTCATTAGTTGAGTATATCACCCAATTCTAATCATATCAGGTGCCCTCTTTAATGCCCATCACCCAGTTACCCCATTCCCCCCACCCACATTCCTTTCCGCAACCCTCAGTTTGTTTCTTGGAGTGAAGAGTCTCATATGGTTTGTCTCCTTCTCTGAATTCTTCCCATTCAGTTCCCCCCACCCCTATTGTTCTCTGTACTGTTTCTTATGTTCCACATTCGAGTGAAACCATATGATAATTGTGTTTCTCTGATTGACTTATTTCACTTAGCATAATACCCTCCAGTTCCATCCATGTCAATGTAAATGGTAGATAGTCATCCTTTCTGATGGCTGAGTAATATTCCATTGTATATATGAACCACATCTTCTTTATCCATTCATCTGTTGAAGGTCATCTTGGCTCCTTCCACAGTTTGGCTATTGTGGACCTTGCTGCTTTGAACATTGGGGTGCATAACTTCTTTAGCTAAATATGTATTCAAATTCTTGCCCGTTTCTGGTTCAGTTGTTTCTCTGTTTTTGAGTTCTAAGAGTGGTCTGCATCTTCTAGATAAAAGACCCTTAAGATATATGATTTGAAAATTTTTTCTCCCAGTCTATAGGTGTCTTTTCACTTTCTTCATAGTGTTCTTTGTAGCACAAAATTTTTAATTTTGACGATGTACAATTTATGTATTTTTCCATTTTTATCTGTGATTTTAGTGTCATATTTAAGAATTTATTGTAATTTCTGAGGTCATGTGACTTGTCCCAGTAACATTCATTGAAAAGACTATTTTTATTCCATTGAATGGTATTGGAAACCTTCTCAAAATTCAGTTGACCATAAACACATGGGTATAGTTTTGAACTCCAAATTCAATTCCATTGATCTATATGTCTCTCCTTATGCCCGGACCACACTATCTTGATCATTATAGCTTTGTGGTAAGTTTTGAAACTGGAAGTTGGAGTTCTACAATTTTATTCTCCCCCCCCCCAAGATTGTTTTGGTCATTCTGGGTCCCTTACATTCCATATGAATTTTATTTTATTTTATTTTATTTTTAAAGATTTTATTTCTTTATTTGACAGACGAGATCAGGCGTGTTCAGGGTGGTATGGCCGTAGACAGAGAGACACAGTGAGAGAGGGAACACAAGCAGGGGTCGTGGGAGAGGGGAAGCCGACTTCCCGCTGAGCAGGGAGCCCGATGCGGGGCTCCATCTCAGGACCCTGGGATCAGGACCTGAACCGAAGGCAGATGCTTAACGACTGAGCCACCCAGGCGCCCCTCCGTATGAATTTTAATTTCAGTGTGTCAATTTCTACACAGAAGCCAGCTAGGATTCTTATAGGGAGTACATTCATCTGTAGATCAGTTTGAGGAGTATTGCCATCTTGACAATATTAAGTTCTAATCCATGATCATTGGATGTTTTTCCATTTACATAAATCTTTAATTCATTTCAACAATATTTGTGGTTTTCAGTGTATAAGCACTTCTTTTGTTAAAGCTATTCCTAAGTATTCTGTTCTTCTTGATGTTACTGTAAAGGAGTTATATTCCTAATTTCACTTTTGGATTTTTTATCACAGTGTATGAAATATAATTGATTTTATTGAGACTCTAGTCCAAAGATAAAAGGCTAAGAGATCCAGGAATGTAATCTTGTTCCTTTGGTCACTCTAAAGATGTGGCAGGAGACACTGATCTGGCTGTTCTAGTGGTGGCCCACATGTGTGACTTGCTCAGCCACTTCAAGTAAAGGTCATAAAGGGAATAACTCCTGATATGAATGAATCCTGGTATCTTTTAATCCTCAGGTTGGTAGACCAAATTAGAATTGCCCCAGGGAAATTTTTCATTTTCACTGATATTTCCATTGCTTTTTTTCCCTTGTAGTACTGTTTCCATTCCTTACCCCAGTTTTTGAAATGCTAAATATCTGGCTATTTCCAAAATATGTTACTGATTTTTTCACAAAATCTGTAAAAAGGATGAAGGAAAGTCGCCTCAAAGATAAAGAAAAGGTAAATCTGGTGGTGGTTACATGTGCATGTTGACTTTTGATCTGTTATTGAACTGTATACATCTGATGTACACAGTTCTAAGTAGGTTTTTATGGTAGGTAGAGAACTATAGGGTTTAGAGCAGGAGACTTCTAACATTTTAGAGAGAATGAAGAAGGTGGAGGTCAGGGAAGGAGATAAGAAGATGAGTCGGAGAGACAATGTTTAAAATTTAAGAATAAGCTTGCCACGAGTATGTCACTGCATAATCTTCAGTGAGAGAAAAACTACCACTTCCTTTCAATAAATTGTCAAAACTTAAAAATTACTGTGTAAAATATTTTTCCTGGTAGTGTGATTTTGCCAGATCTTACAGTGACAAAGAATCCCTTCATTCTAAGCCTCTTTTCTTACATATTCTCCAGTGGAAATTCCCCTCAGGTACCTGGTTATGTTAAACTTGAGGCTATCATAATGTGGAGTGGGCAGGTGTCTTCTTTGGACACTGAGGCTGCAAGCTGGCTGAGTAGGCTTTGCCTTCCTGAGACCTGGCGGCCAGCACTAGGATGTGTGTAGGACAAGGAGACAGGGCTGGTACCCCAGGATGTCTATGAAGATTGTGCAGAGTTCTGGGAGGATGGGGCGCTGGAAGATGCTGACATGGAAGCTGCCCGTGGACTCTGCAGAGGTCAGGGGATTGGTCTATATGACCATTCATTAAGAATTAAGGCTGGAAAAACAAAAGGACTGAAGTCAGGGACTTTCTCCTGAGCTAGTAGGTATGACAGGAGAAGGAGCAGGCAACCCTTGGGCCAGGAAGCTGTGTTCAAAAGCCAGAGAAGCTGAGGATCAGAGAGAGCAAGAACCAAAAAGCAAAGAGACATAATGGCTGGATTCCTGTCAGGGAAATACCATGCTCTCCAAGATTTGTAGCTGGTCATTTTTGTTCACTGATGACTCTGGAAACACTAAACTTCTGGATGTGAAGGGGCCATATTCTCAGGAAAGAAGTTAGGTACTGCATCCCTGTTTTATTTCTGACTTCACAAGTGACTTTTTGTCATTGAAATGTCTCTTTCTGTTTCCAGCACCGAGTGGATTTTCTTCAGCTGATGATTAACTCCCAGAATTCCAAAGAAGTAAACACCCATAAAAGTAAGCAAGGAGAGCTTCAGATGGCTCTTGATGGGGTGGCTCAGAGACAGGGGGTGGTTCTGAGATATAGAGGAAGATTTTTAGCAGATGGAATATCAGAAAATCAAAGAAAGACACATGTTCAGATACAAATGGTAGCCAGAGAATTTTCCAGAAGAACACAGCCACAGTTTTTTCATGGCTTGAAGGGCAATGATAGACAAAGCTGTCAGTGGTCTGCCACATGGGAGCTTGTTTCCAGTGTCAGTCCTCCAGCCTAATCCAGACCCATTTAATCAGACCCTCAGCCTAGAAATTCACATCAAGGCTCGTCACATCAGGAGGCCCCTGGCCCCAGTATTGGCAACCTTCTTTTGGAACACTTAGTTAAACTTGTGTTCACTGGCTTAATCTACTCCCAAGTTTTTTTTTCCTTTGGTGATTAAGAAGTAACTAGTGCAGTGTACAGTGTACACAGTGCGACTGTGTACATATGGTGTTTGTCTTTAAACCATCACCTACTACTTTTACCATCCATGGATGGTATTTGATTAAAACTATTATTACTATGATGGTTGCAAAATGATGACTTTCTACTTCTACCATTTCTTCTACATTTGGAGTGATAGTCCATTGTTGAGGTGGGCTTTCCATTCATCATCATTATTATATTTGTTTATTTA